TGCAATAAGCAATTTTTGATCAACAGGGGGCAAAAATACTCAGCAAACTCCAAGCAAACTCAGGTGAAGCACAGCTGTTAATGCTAACCTCAAATTGATTTGGTATAGCTAATGTGTTAGCAAACACTTAATTACACAACCTATAGACACAGAGCAACGCTGGCGTCTCACTCTCACAAGTCCTATGTTCACTGGCCTGTTTGGTCTCCACCTTCTCCTGGGCCAAATATCTGGGTGTGTAGTTTGCTAAATGCCTGACTATCTCCACCTGCAGCTTGTTTCCTTTGACTGCTAAGCATGTAGTGGGCACTTGTCTGAGTCAAGCCCCCAGGAACAGTGCGGGGCTCTACGGCACTTTTAGCATAGTGCGAAAGTGTGAAAAACACTTTGTATAATTAGTATTTAATCCATTAATTCCAATAAAATGTGGAAAGTTTATAAGAGCTGAATTAGTAAATCAGGCTATTTCATGCTATTGATGTGTGCTCCCAGTGAGCAACTGTAATGGGAATGAATGGGACGCCATTTTGGAATCAAGTTTTTCATCCATGATCTGAGCTTGTTTGGTGGAAATAACTGCCTATGGTCTTGTAGGAGTGAGATCAAGAGAACCAGAGACTCAGCTATACAGTCTGAGTCTGGCCTGTAAACAAACAAAAAAAAATTATTAGCTTAAAGAGTCTCAAAGCTGCAGAGTCGGATGTCAATACATCATTCAAATTATCACTTTATGCATGTCTGACCATGACCGTGATCTTTTCTTACCATTTCTACCAAATGTACCTTCCCTATAGGTATAGAAAGGACCAGGCATAAAGATAATGTGCAACTACTGTAGTTGCACATTATCTTTATGCCTGGTCCTTTCTATTCCTGGAACCACAGATTTCAATGTAATGAGAGTACAGCGATCGGTAATCTATCATAGATCTGCTATCGTTCTCGTAAGCCTCTCCTTCGTCTCCTCACTATTTATCATGTATGGCGGCTTCATGAACTACCCAACAGAGGTATTCCTGTGCAATGTCTTTCCATTTATTGATGTGGAACGTTTTGTTGTTGATTCTGACACTCTCTTTACTATTTGCCTACGAGCCAGTATGTAGATGTGAGTGGAGTGCCAGCCTTAACATGAGTGAGACTACCTGGCCAATCTGTTCGATATGTTGTCTGATGATTAACCTATCCAGTAAATGTTTGTCTTTCATAATAACTAACATTTGTGGATCTCTTTCCCAGTCGATGTCCTTGATTTTGAGGAAGCACCTCTGGTATACATCTTTTCGAGGCTCTGAGATGTCTGTGGTCCAGGCCTCTGCACCACACGGTGAAGTAGGCAACAGAGTTTGGCAAAAGCGTGCTTGTGTAGCCGATGGTGTATTTCTGTGTCAGTATTTGCTCTGAGGAGAGACAAACTGCCAAAGTAGGCAAAGTGGTACATGTGAGGATATGGTGCAGTCCAGAAGAACACAATGAGTGCGCTGCAGATCTTGTTCTGAATGATGCCATGCATTTTAACTCAACACAGCCTCCCAAGGTCCTGTATCCCTAATGATTGCCAAAGGACCCTGGAAATAGCTATTGCAGGAAAGTATGTGGTTAGTTAGGTCATGTGTCAGAGCATAGACACAAGATAAGCGCCCTTAAATGATTCTTCTCCTGCTCCACATTGTTCACGCTCTGTAAAACAGAAAACAAACAAACAAGCTAAATGAACCTGTACTTAAGTATTCTTTATACAGTATTTGCTGTGAGAAATAACAAACACTCCTCTATTTATGTTTTAAATAATAGGACTCTGTTTGGAGATGTCATTAAAACCAGATTTTAGAATTGACCTTTCATCTGTTACAGTGGGGGTTGGGCACATCTTTTGCATATGACCTCAATTGCAGTATGGGTACACAAATGATTAATTCTTAACATTTTCTTTGTTTATTTTTTGCCTGCTGTCTTCGATTTCCTTCATTGAAATAAGAAAGCCTCTTGAAAGTTTGAGCAAATATAGGTCACTGTCACTGGTGCAATGGTGTAACCAATGTCATCTCTCCAGCTTAAATTTTGCATTTTTATGCAATGGGGCAGCATATATGTGTGATGCTCATGGGTGAATCATTAAAGGAATGCAAATGACGTCATCTAACAACACCGTTCATCAAAGGTTCTGCAAGAAGTGATCAAAAAAACAGGTGCATATATTGTATATTTGATAGTTATTATCATAAAACACTCACAGAGTTATTTTCACAGTGACATTTTAGCCTGTAATGATCTGAACAGAGTTTTGACATTTGAAGATAAAAGGGCAGCAGGACAGAGTTAGATCATGTTGGTTTTGCACCTATTTAATAGATACATGTATACATTTCCTGTTTATTTGTTTGTTTTTTGTGATATTGGGCTATAAATAATATTCCCAATTTTGTTTTGTCCACTCTTTGGTTGTTTTCTGCTAAGACCTTTGTAACAGCAGAGGACCTTTGTTCTCGTAAATCTTGCTGTGATGGAAATTTAATTTTGTCTAGTATGGCAGGATTTAGCTCAGACACTTAATTTAGAAGCTAAAAGCCTAAAGAAATTCTGGATGTACTAAAATAGATAGTAGAAGATAGTAACTTGCAGTGGTTAGCACTGTCACCTCACATCAAGAAGGTCGTGGGTTCAAACATCTGTCTGTGTGGAGTTTGCATGATGTCTGCGTGGGTTCTCTCCAGGTGCTCTGACTTACCCCCACCGTCCAAGACATGCAGGCTAGGTTAATTGGTGTCTCCAAAATTATCCTTAGGTGTGGATGTAAGTGTTAGTGGTTTTTTGTCTATGTGTGGCACTGTGATGGACTGGCAACCTGTCCAGGGTGTACCCTGCCTTTCGCCCGATGTAAGATGGGATTGGCTTGGTTTGACGATGGATGGATGGATGGAAGGAAGATAGTAACTTTGCTTTACACCCTTGCCAGGTGGCCTAGAACTAGACAACACAGATCCAACAGGCACAAATTACTGTTTCCTACCTATTAGTATGACTAAATCATTGGCATTCATTTTGATTGCAGAGTCTTTTAGTGGAGAGAACACACACACTGCTGCTGCAGTTGTGTCATTATGCTTGCTTGTTCTTTGGTCCTTCTAATTCAGCCATAATAGCCAAATGTAATCTTTGAGTGCTCAGCAGAGTCTGTCAGAGTATACTCAGAACACTTCCACTGGCTTCCTGTGTGCAAACTGCATATTTAAAAGGAGCTATTTCAATGGCTAAAGTCACTCAAAGGAGGGATATAAACCCTTAAATACACTGAGTGGCCTTTTATTGTGGCCAGCCTAAGGCACACCTGTGCAATACCCATGCTGATCAGCATCTTGATATGCCACACCTGTGAGGTAGATAGATTATCTCAGCAAAGGAAAAGTGCTCAGTAACACAGATTTTGACAGATTTGTGAACAATATTTGAGAGAAATAGGCCTTTTGTATACATAGATAAAGTCTTAGATCATTGAGCTCAGGTCATGGTGAATGGGGGCAAAAACAAAAGTTTTGCGTTTATAATTTTATTGCTACTACTACTAAACATATCCACGTAGCAAGTTATGTAGAAATGCAGCTCAGATTGCTCAACAGTAGTGGAACATTATAACAACTTGATGGAATAATGACAAAAGAATGTACAAAAAGAAGGAAACAGCACAGGATAACTTCATACTGATGTTTGCTTTGTAAAAGCTGTCAGATCTGTGATAATTGCTGCTTGCTAATGTGTCTTAGACTGTGACTGGATGGTGTTGTATAGCATACAAGAGAGAGACATTATGTGCAGTGTTAGGGAGAGAGAACAGGAATGGAGGAGGAGAGTAGTGCTGTCAAGCGAGGTTCAGTGAGGACACTGGTGAGGATTCAGAACATTATAGAATTGAATGACTGTTGTTTCCTTAAAGTTGCATCAAAGAAAAAACACAAATCCTTTCACAAAATGTTCACTTTTACAGATGTTGTATGAACTAACCCACAGTGGAAAAATTAAGAACCATATAAAAATGCTAATGTGAGGTTTTGAGGGAATGCTAAGTAGCAATGTCTCTAACTGCACTATTCTTGCCTATACTGCATTGTATGTGTTTGTGCTCAGACATTGTCATTTGTTTGTACAGACTGTAATGCTGCGCAGGCTGTAAAAAAGCCTCTAGGCTTATAGCTATCCTGTGTAAGGAAGTGCAGGACCTTTTATGTTAACATATGGTCCAATTGAGTGCAAGAATGATATAATGGCTCTCTAACTGCACAAGCTCAGGCCCCACTAACTCTTCTGCAAAACTTCCTGGCATAGGAAGTGCTGGGCCCACAATCACTACAGTGCAGACAAATCTTATTATTTTGCAGATATTTTATACTAGATGATTGCCAGTTCTGGCAACATTTTTATATATACAATGTGTATTTCGTATACCCATTATCCTTTACGCTTGTATTTTGTAGTTTTATGCTCTCTTTATGGTCCTATTATGTTGTTCTTGGCATCAGATGTTTCCCTTTTTCATGCCCCTTTCCATCTCCCTACACTCACTCCCTCACTCACTCACTCACTCACTCACTCACTCACTCTCTCTCTCTCTCTCTCTCTCTCTCTCTCTCTCACTTCCTCCATCTCCCCTTTACTATTCCCCTCTGAATCCTTCCCTCTCTGCATATCTGTTATACCCCCTCTCGCCTCATCTCCCACTGCCCTGCATCTGCCCTCCTTATCCATTTCTCCAACCCAACATTCTGTCTTTCTCCCTCTTTCTGATCCCCCCCACTCCCAATACCTCTGCCTCCTCCCCCCTGCTTGCCCCCCTCCCCTTCTCCAGCTCATGTTGGTAAAAATATCTGCAGACAGCAGGAGCAGAGGCATGCCTGTCTCTCTCTCTCTCTCTCTCTCTCTCTCTCTCTCTCTCTCTCTCTCAGACATCCCACCCATGTGATCTCACAGGCTGCCTCTGCTCTGCTCCACTCTATTCCAGTCAGGCTCCTGCTTTTCAGCCGGTTGCGGCTAATGAGCCTTTGTGTAGCCATAGAGAGAGAACGAAAGAAAGATAGAGAAGAGAGAGAGGAACACAGTGACAGACAGGGAGTTAAAGTGAGAAAGACTGTCGTCTTGCAACAATAAAGCATATGGTACTGACAGTGCAGTCAGAGCTGGAAAATTACAAGTCTCTCTCACACTCTTGCACATTTTTTTCTCATGCGCGTGGAGCTCAGGGGTCGCTGCAAGTCAGTGGACTGAAACAAAATGGGAACCTCTTCATTTAAAATCTTTCACCTTTTTTGAGTAGCCACATTTACGATTGTGTGGCCGTTCTGCTGTGAGAAGAGGTGAAAGGAGTCACAGTCTGCCAGTGGATACAGGTCAGTTGTTCCTGTCAGGGCATCACTTGGCATGAGTGTTTTGAGCCTTGTGTTGTCACATCGGTTTACTGTCACTGTGGGGACCTTGTGAATGACGAGGTGGAAAATAATTGCATTTAGAATGCAAGTGTGCTACAGTGCTGGGAGCGCTGTTGATTAAGGACAAGAGTTGGTTTCCACAGTTGATGTGTGTGCAAAGAGAGGCAAACACAGGGAGGGGCTTTCCAAGCAGGCTTTTGCTGCATTATTTTCTCTGGGATTTTCTCCCTTGTACCATAGTGTATGCTGCCCAGCCATGATTAGTGGTAAGGCAACAATGAAGACAAAGAAAGAGCTGTTAGAGAGGAGCAACAACCTCTGGTTTTTATTTAGCCATGATGAAAGAGGTTCACCCTAGATTACCCACAGCTCTGTGGCTCATGATGTCATGCCCATCCAGTGTCAAGATTTTAACTTTTGTGCTGTCGTAACAGAATGCAAATGAACTAGAAAGGCATTCATTTGAGAAAGGGAATCTGGTAAATGCATTAACATCATTTGCTTAGATATTAACTTAATTTGCTCAAGCACTGGTGCTTTAGTATAAAGAACTCTATACATAGCATATAGCATTGGAAACTCATATGGGAAATCACTAGTTGTGAGGGTACATTAGGATCTCCATGGAAACAACTTTTGGTATCAAAGCCTAGTGCAGCATCAGCTGAGGGCTAAGCATATGGATAGGTTTCCAACAATGGTATCTAATTAGGACCCTCGCTTGGAAATGGACAAAAATTGCACAAGTAATTTCTGGTGGAAATTTCCACTCCTGTTTGCCAACAAAGAAATTGGATTGTGAAATAATAATGTTTCCTTACTGTTTGATGTGAGATCAGCAGCTTCTGTTGATCAACATTTTACATCTCTTGAGACTAATTTAATATATTTCAGGATTAGTTCATTAGTTAATGTCATTATGTCTTGTCATAATCACTCAGCAGAGAAAGTAGAGTGATGGTTCCTTGTCAGCCAGCTCATTTATTGGCTTTACAGAAGCTTGTTAACTCTTCCTTAGAGTACAGCCTCTTACAGATTTCACTTCCAAATAGCTTTCTAGTGAGGTTACCCTGACAGACACCTCTCTCTTCCACTTTCTCCCAGATGGAGGATGCCTCACATTCCTTAGTTGTAGGTAGGGTTGTTGACTCTGGAGGTTTTCCAAATGCTGGCGGTGCTATGTCACCCCACTGAACAAGCACAGCCTCCTGGGAACAATGACCCTCTTGCTGGCAGCACAAGTCCTCTCTGGGTTGCACCTCTTTCTCTCAGGCAGCATTTGCATCTGTAATGACTTGATAGCAAAGCCCAGATGAAACACTGTGGCTGTCTGTGAATGGAACTCCCCCACAAGCTGCTCTGGCAGATAGACAGAGTGGGACTGGGTGAAGATGCATGTTGTCTTTACTGATTCCAGTTTCCAAGAGAGAATGCAGTGAGGGAAAAGCTGCCAGCCATAGCAATCCTTGCTGTGCTACAGCAGCTCTGTTGTATTACTGAGTCTATTTTAAAATGTGACATGACGTTCCAGCTGCTCTACAGCTAAATACATTAAAGGACTGTATTTTCACCAATGTCTGATGTTATGAATAGTGACAGAGATTAGGTCCTGGACTATTACAACCCATTATGCAACGAAGAATAGTGGCAGGATATTATTCCAAAAGAAAAAGGAGTAAGCAAAATAATATATGGTTTAATAGTTACAGTGCAGTAGTTGTTAGAGCCAGTTCCACAGTAATGGTGATTAGTTTTAGTGTAGTTGACTGATGAGCTTGTTTTTGTTTATTTGTCTAATTGCATCATCAGTCAGAGGGAGTTAATGGCCCCTTGCAATTGACATTGAAGTGGTCTTTAACACTTCTGTTACAATAGCCTCTGTATGAAGTGCTGTAACCACAAACATTTTGCTGTACCTACACACAAAGAGAGTGCCAGTTTAGAAGCCGTGAATAGCACTGATTTAAATGTAGAGCTGTAATATCTATTATCATTCTGACACTATTTAATGGTAGTTATCTCTGAAAGGTCTGTAGCAGGGATAATATGTATTGGTCTGTTTCCACTATTATATTTACCCTGCTTTATGATACGTGATTATTGACTGTCCTTTTTGCAGATTATAAGGCAATAGCCTGTCACAGTATAGATTTTTACTCTGCTCTGCAGTGGTCTGTAGCTGCATTTACCCGAGGCCTGTCTTTTTTTCTGTAGGAAGCATTGCATCTAACAGATGCTCATTACAGATGTACAGGATGTCAGTCATTATATACATAATGCACATGTTTCCATACAAATAGTACTTGCATGTATGTCTGAATTTGTTGCATTGCTTTTTTTGTGTTTTTTCTGTGAAATGCACTGTAATACATTTTAAGCCAGTGGGTAGTTTAAATGTTTTATGCTATTTGGGGTGCAGCTGCAATTAAATGCATTCACTTAATGTTGTAGATAAAACATATATGTTATAAGCAGTGCAAGACAAGTTGGTCCAGTCTCCTTTTTCTCTAGCCTCTCAATCAAAGACAGTGGCATGAACTTCCTGTAAGGCAGACGTACTATGTAATTAGCAGCTTTCTCCTTCCATCTCAGCTCCTTTGTTCCAAGGTGATCAATCGCCCAGGGAACGCCTGGGAGCTGGGATAGCAGCAGGAGAAATTGTGTGTGTTTGTGTGAAGGAGGGGGGTGGTCTGGGTCTCATTGCTAATTGAGTGTATTGAGGATTATGAAGGCACTAAACTGGATATTAAATAATCTGTGGCCTCTCTGCTGTCTTTTGGTTTCAGGTGCAGATGCGGCGGGCCATGAGTGGAATACTGAAGAGGAAATTTGAGGAGGTGGAAGCCTCCTCCTCCCCATGCTCTTCCTTGCGGGAGTCTGATGATGAGGTCTCTTGCAGTGAGAGTGGGGACAGCAGCGACAGTGTCAACCCCTCGGCCTCAGGCCCTTTCACCCGTGAGTGCCCGTTTCTTTTAAATTCATGCATTATGCTCAGTGTGTCTAACGTGCGCTACTGATAGTAATATTAATGTCATCATTTCATCTCAAAGAAAACAAATACGCCTGTCTGTTGATAACATAAATTTCCAGGCATAGCTGTGCAGTGGAGAGGAGAGGAGAGGAGAGGAGAGGAGAGGAGAGGATTGTTTGATGCTAAGTCTAGTGCTGTAATAAAGGTAAAGGATGTGAAGGCCACCTTTATCATTAGGAACAGCATCAGTGTACAGGCCCAGCCAGATGAATGAGCTGATGCAGTCTCAAGCTGTGTGCGCAACACTGTTGCTACTGTACACGTAAATGCACCGCTCTCTAAGAACACTGAATAATCATCTTAGTTATCTTCTTATATACATCATATTTTGGATTTCTTTGAGAAAGGGGCAATTAAAATTTTTGCATAAATGAAAAGACCAGCAAATGCACACTGAAAATGAGACATGATGCATGGTGGGTAAAGCTGAGGGCTGCAACTTTATTATTTTCTTTATTGAAAGATATGTGCAATATTTTCTCTCTATAAAATATCACAAAGTCATAATTTCCTCAAGCCTAAAGTGGCATCTTTAAATGTTAGGTTTTGTCCAACCAACAGTCCAAACCCAAAAGATATTCACTTTACAATAATTCAAAACAGAGAAAATAATAAAAAAGTAAAATAAACTAACAGAGCTATAATTCTGTGAAGTCTACCAGCTCTGCTTTTTAAAATACACGTGGTTCAAAAGAATTCTGCTGTAAGACTCTACGGTAACTCTTGACTCGAACTGACTTAGGTATTAAATAATGCAGTCTTAATGGAAAATAAACCAACCACAAAAGACAGGTCTCCTCTGCAGGTTCAAAAGGACGCGGAAGTCATCACTAATAAGTAACACAGTGCACATGTCAATTTAAATCTATAAGAGTTGAGACAGAAAGTGAGTGAAATAGATTATACAGTTGTAGTTTTTTAATCATTTTGGGGGAAGCATCTAGATACTTGTTGGTGCCAGAACGTCTTAATAATGCAGTTCTTAAAGAACAAAAGACAGGAGTAACATTTAGACAGCATGTGTGTGTATGTGCACAATTTGGCTACTTTCGTTTTAATGAAATGCAAAGTCATCATTAAATTGTGTGTTTTGACAATGCATTATTTTTTAAATCTGTATGAATGACATGCAGATGGGTCCCTGTAGGGGACGCAGTAAGGTGCTGCATCCCCAAACACTAAGCCTGGCCTCAGTGTCAGCTGCAGCTGCTGATAGCTAACAGCAGCAAAGGAGCTGTGCACTCTGAAGACTTCACTCCTGTGATGTGACATGTACAGTGATTGACTGTGTTGGCAGAGAGATGGAACAATTAAGTCCTAAGTGGTTATTCATCCCATGCTGTTGTGTTAGGGAGAGGAGGAAAACATCTGTAATAGTGTCTGTTTTTTAGTATATGAGAAACAGTCAGGTCTGAATCTGTCACTTTAAAGGGTAAAGGAGCACTTGCTGATTATAGCACGGCAAACTGCTTGCAAAAAAGGTTTTTTTCTTATAGGCTTTAATGGAGACATCCTCAAAAAAGCTGATTACATAGACCTTAATATATGTTAACTGTTTTGACACCTAAAACAAGCAAACATAAATGAAGCTTGGCTTTGCTCTGTACTGTCAGCCTGACAGCTCTACATCTGTAATGAAATGCATTGTCCCTTTTGCGTGGGTTGGAGAGCTATTGGAACCAGATGGTTTCTATTTGTCCTGTCCTTTCTGATATCGGGGTGAACACGGGGAACACTGCTTCTGTGAACCAGCACTCTTCATCTCTGGGCCAGGCAGGGGATTATTCATGCTCCACTGTTGCCCTCCCCTCTGCCCCTCCCTCTGGTAGAGATCTCCTTAAAAAGAAATGCAGAGGACTTGCATGCCAAGCGGAAGCACAGAGATGTGATGAAATCCTTCCCTGCAAAGCTGTGCTAAGATATGTAGAAGCTGTAGATATGGCAAGAAAGAAGTCCTCATATTCATAGTCATTTATCTTAACAGGCTTTACGTGGCTATTAAAACTGCTCTACTCCAACATGAAATAATGTATGAATGATAAAAAAAAAATTCAGCTGTACTGAAAGTGACATGCAGTGATTTACAATATGGAGCTTTAATTCTTTCCACATTGGAGTAATGGATTGTCAAAAACAGTTTACAAGTAAAATGACAAGTAAATGTCCCACTTTCTTCAACATTCCCTTTTTTCCTTTGCAGCTGACTCAATACTGAAGAGAGAGAAGCGCCTGCGGACGAGGAGGGTGCATTTTGAGAATGTGACAGTGTACTACTTCAGCCGGCGGCAGGGCTTCACCAGCGTGCCCAGCCAGGGAGGCAGCACGCTGGGAATGTCCAACAGGCACAGCTGGATCAGGCAGTACTCTCTGGGTGAATTTGCCCTGGAGCAAGAAAGGATCCACAGAGATATGCTCAGAGATCACCTGAAGGAAGAGAAGCTCAACTCTATCAAACTCAAGGTAAATACTTTGTAATCTGTATCTCTACAAAGTCATAGTTTTAAATGTTTCTGCACAAAGGAATTTATAAGCATTATTCAACCAAAATCAGTATTTTGGTAAGAAAGATTCTTTGTTTGAAACACCACATTGTAAAATAGCTTGGATGTGCCTCCTTCATTTGTTTTCAGCTGACTAAGAATGGCACAGTGGAGTCTGAAGAGGCCAATGCGCTCACGGCAGAGGATATTTCTGACGATGACATTGATCTGGACAACACAGAGGTAGACGAGTATTTCTTCCTGCAGCCTCTTACCACTAAAAAGCGTAGGGCATTGCTGCGCACCTCTGGGGTAAAGAAGATTGACGTGGAAGAGAAACATGAACTGCGGGCAATCCGGATGTCCAGAGAGGACTGTGGCTGTGACTGCAGAGTCTTCTGTGACCCAGAGACCTGTGCCTGCAGCATCGCAGGGATCAAGTGCCAGGTAAAGCCCATGACTATCAGTTTTATCCACGCCCTTGTAAACAGAAAACACTCTCTATTATTTAACGAGAAGGTGCAGGGATCAATGATTGATACAGTATGTTAAAGGATACACTTGGTTCTATCATGTCATAATGCCATTACACAGGTCATCTGTTTATGTGTGAATAAAATGAGCCGCACAGTAAAAGTTATGTTTTCTGTAGGTGGACCGTATGTCATTTCCATGTGGCTGCACAAAAGAGGGCTGCAGCAATTCAACTGGGAGAGTGGAGTTTAATCCCATCCGTGTCCGGACCCATTTCTTGCACACCATAATGAAGCTTGAACTGGAGAAGAGTCGTGAACAGCAGCATGCGCCCCCTGCCAATGGTTACATTGGCGATAACAACGACCTGGGAAGCGGAAACCCTCTCGTTCAGTCCCAGCACAGGTTGGAGTACTCTCTCTCAGAGGCTGTCCCACAGACGGCCAGCATGCACCTGCAGGCCGCCGATGAGATGGAGGAGCAGCTAGATGATGAAGACGAGGAAGAAGATGATGAGGACGAGGAGGAAGAGGAGAACGAAGAGGATGAAGAGGATGAGGAGGATAGTAGCAGTGTTTGCAGCGGTCTATCTGACTCCAGCACCCAGAGCTTGGCTAACAGTGACTCTGAGGACGAGGAGGACGATGATGAGGACAGAGAGAAGTCTGAGAACTTTCAAGACGACATGACAGCCCTGTCAGTGTCCCATACTGAGGTGGTCCCCTTGTCCTCAGTGCTGTGTTACAGCGATGGCTCTGTGGCACATGATAACCACATGAACGGAAACACTTATTTAATGAACTCTTCTTCAGCTGAGTACTATCAGCTGGGGAGCTCCAGCGCCATCTCTAATGGCCAAACCAGCCAACCCAGTAAACCCTACAGGGAAGCCTTAGCATTCCAGGATCCAGTCAGCCCGACCAACGGCAGCATGGCCCAAGGACCATTCAACATGTCTGCTGAGCAGTACACAGACTACTCTAACCAGGCTGAGGAACAATACACAGCTAATCACCCTTTCACTCTGACCAATGGCGTGCCCGCTGCCCCCGCGACCTGCTACACACCTGACCAGGAGAAAAAGATGTTGTCCAAAGCAACGTTTGTGGAGCAGCCTAACAACCACAATCAAACACAGTTTCAAAACTACCTGAACAATAACACCCAGGGTTCCTACAGCAGCCACAGCTCATGTACGACAGATGAACAGCCACAGCAAGAGTCCAGTGTTAATGGACACTCTGACCTGACCTTACTAGCAAACAGTACTAAGAACCTCCCTTTACCAGACCATTGCCCCGAGGTCACAGCTATCTAGTGGGCCTCGTCTTTTGAAGTGTTCTTTCGTCATTACATCTTGAGCCTGACCAAGTGGTATTTTAAGGGAACATAATCATGGCCTTTTAGAATTATCTGACCTTAAATTTCAAAGCAATGTACAGCGCCGTGGTACATTCTCATCTGTAACTATAAAGCCATAGGTTCCTGATGGCAATGTTTTTGGGTGAATAATTTGCCCCTGAAGGTTTCTCCACAACAATGTGTGTTAAACTGCAAGATGGAACAGATCAAAAACATGTTAAAACATCAGTTATGTCATGCTGTGCAATGTATCTTGTAACTTCAGATGTAAAGTTCTAGTTTTAAGCAGATATTGTACTGTAGATTTTTCTATGTCTACGTGTCAAATGTGCAAAAAGGTTTATTGTCAGTTTATTTATTGTTTCTGAATTACGTGTACACGTATATACTGTAAATGTTTTGATAACAATACGCATGCTGTTTTGGGAATCTCAGTGACATTTAGGGGGAAAAATTGCCATTGTTTTATATAAAAATGTGTTGTATACATAATGTACATTTTTCTTCTTCTTTTTGTCACTATTATAAGCTTTTCTATCGTTTTGAAAAGCATGAAAAAGCCTGAATTCTTATTTGTATGTTTGTAATACAATATCAATAGCATACAATGACAGAAATCAATTAACAGCCTTTTGCACTTATGTGTGGGGTTCCAGTGGCATGCAGTTGGTTTTAACTGGTAAAATATGGCCCCTCACTTGTTTTTCTCCACTGTTCTTACAATACCGTGATTTGCAGGTGTCACTACAAATGAAGGTTTATTCTTTCATTGATACAGGGATATTAATAAAGTAGCACTTTGACATATCTCCAAAAGTATGAGGAGCTCTATTCATTAAAGACAACATAACTCTTTATCATTGGATTATCATAAGAGGCTTCGTTTGAAAATCAGTCTCCATCAAAGTTCTGTAGACAAAATATTGACCCAAAATAATGTCAATATTTCATTAATTAACTGGTTATTGGATTTCTGATTCTGAACGCTGTAGAAACTACATTACACTGTCCAATAACTAAGTTTATTGTTTATTGTATGTTTATTCATGTGGATCTGATAATTATGTTGATTTGTTCTACTGAAGTGTTAAGTGCAATAGTTTGACAGTTTTTAAAAGACATTGCCTTTTAGAGGAAATCCTTGGAAAGCGGACTGAGATTGCTTTTAATTGCTTGTCATGGTACTTAATATTTTACCTAAAGCACCATTATCTTAATAAAAAGTATGCCACAGTTTCAGTAATTGTATGTAGGCGTAAAACAAATGTTCAAGGTTGACAATCAAGGCCTATTATCAAACATAATTCATATCAGTAAGTAAGAGATCCACAACTCCTGAGTCACGTGGAGAGCCATTGAAAAAGACTGAAAAGTCAGATATTCAAAAATTGCTTACCAAAAACCTGTAAGTAACCTTTCAACACATCTTACATTTGTGACAAAAAAGGAAATTGGAGTGACCACTGAACAATTGGGGGACTGCAATAATTTAGTGAGTAATTCTACTGTAATATGTTGCTGAAGTTCTTTACCTTGAGCTGTTTGCGCCTGCATGAATACAGATATTTGTCCCTCTTCCAAGCTTGCAAATATCTGCACACATTTTATAATCATTTGCATCAATATTGGAGTTTTGGTGGTTTTCTGTGACTGTGGAGTAGCTGGAACCTCTCATTCCACCTCAGTGGTACAAAAGAAGTGTACAGACTGCTTGCAGGGAATCAGTGGCATCAATATGGCCTATAGTACTAATATAGAGTAATTGTGCCAAAGCATACAGTGTGAGAAGGCTTGATACAATGAGACTGCATCCAGTTAAGAATCCTGTGTTGGATTTTTATGTTCTAGTATTTATTATGAATGATATATTGAAATGTGTATTTATTGTGGTTTACTAAAAGTCTGTATTGAGTAAATTGATTCACTATCTTAAAATTGTCTTTTGTTTCATGCTGGTTGGGAGTTGTAATGCTTCATGTACCTGATTTATTTAATTGTTTTTCTTATTCTGTGAAATGCATACATTTTGCACAAAATGGTAAAATTTTTTCCATGTATTTGGTTTTCCAATTGTAGATAGGGCCAACTTCATTTTTGTTTTGTTTTTTAAACATGGTTTTGAAATAAATTAAAACTGCTAAAAAATTAGTCAAAATTGTACACTTGATTTCTTAGTGCAAAGCGCCCTCTGCAGATCACAGGGAGAAATGAGACAAGGTGGTACTCAGTCCTACCCAACTTAATTTTTATTGACCTAAAAATAAGACCTCTTAATACAAAGTCTAAAAACAAAATAGGCAATTTCCAGTTTCCAAACACACAAGTATTTTACAATATTCCAGAGCCATCTTAACACTAGTGCCTGCACCAGAAATTCATTTGTGGACTCCTGTTTAGAGGAGAGTTTCAGGCATTTAATCAACAAATAGAGCTCCTTCGGTGCGTTCACTTTAAATTAAACATTCCCTTTTGATAAACACCAAAGCATTAAATTTGTTTTAATGAAACAGGTAAACCTTGTCGCAAATAAAAAGAGAATGATGCTTAAAAATCAGTCAAAACATCTGAGTGTTTGTATGTACATACGTATGTTATCAAAGTATTAATTATAGGTCAAATAAAAATGCATTTTAATCTTCATTAACCCATTTAATCTGCAGTCAGCTGCCAGCTAATTAGGTACAGCTAGGTAAAACTTACACATTCCAATATAACAACCCTGCAAAAACTACCTTCATGAACCTTATAATGTTTGTTTTTTCCAGCCTCCAAAATAACTATAAAGTTGAATCAACACTTCTCTAAAACAGATGCAAACTAAAACTGAACATTATAACCTTCATGAAGCTAGTATTTATTCCAGGACTGTTGTATTAGACTGTGGTAGTTAAACTGGCAAATGAGTGCATAGAAATTCTAAAAACTGTCTTGTAAAAGTTTTCTGGTTTGAAGACTAAAACAATTACCTCATGAAAAAATGAATTAAAGTATCCAATCCAACCCTGATCCGAAGATCACAACACTGTAAAAGCCATTATTCTGCATCAACAGAAAACTGCAGCAACCCCACCCCCCATCCCTCCACCCACCCAGTATAAAATGACATCTAAGGAAATGGACGTTAGCAAATAAAAGGTTTTGTAGTATTCCAAAAAAAAGGGACAATGCACATCATACTTGTGATTCAGGTTTTCACTTTCAGTTGCTTTGGTGCATATATTTTGGGATTTTTGTCCAACTTGAAACTCTTGTTTACAGTATATATGAATTACTGTAGGTTTTGTATGATTATGTTTCAGATTTTTACATCACGCTGGAAAATGTTCAGTGTTGGCTTTATATACCAACATACTGCATGTGTTGGTTGTGAAGACTTGGAGTAGTGAAAACATCACAAATACAAAAGAGGCACTTGTCAACACAGTGCATCGTCATTGTTCCAAGAATCTCAGTTCACAGTCTGATAGGGAGCATTGTGTCAATGCGTCCTTCCAGCAGTGGCACACTGTGGCTTCTCCCAAAGTCCAAACTTCCCAGCAGCAGCAGTTCAGTTCTTCTACGTATAAAAATAAATTAAAACTTAATGTCATTAATCTAAAAAAAATGCAGTCTTTTATACTCCTATGTCCTAGTTTGCCTATGCAGAGTAGCTATTTTTAAAGTGGTAGTTTGCACACTCAGACGAAGGACCAGAGCTGGAATCTGTCTGCGGGGTTGCAAAGGGCCAAAGAGGGATGCTCATGACGGGCACTCAGGCACATGTTTGATCTTGAGTTGTAGAACAACTGGTTCTATATGAAGAAAAGACAAAACTATTACTTTCCTAAAAAACATAACCGTAAGTATCAAAATCACAAACTGCTGCACAGAAAATGTAAAAGAACCAACTCACATCCTTCAGTTCCCATTTTTGCTCTGCTCCTACAAATGTGTTGCCGCCTTTATACTGGCAGTCGTCCAGCTTCACAGCCCCCTCTGCCCCGTGCAAACATAGCTCCTTCTGAATGTTGTGTCTAATCTCGTGATGTGTGGAGTACTCAAAATACTACAGCAAAGGAAACAGAAGGAAAAAAATGCCATCAACCACAATGATTCAAGTGAATCACATTTTAGAAGGTACATTTTCTAACCGACCTGGTTTCCTCCTAGTCCATGACATGGGTACATGATCAGCTGTTTCCCACCCTCATTGTCTTCTCCAGCATCTAGACATGAGTCTTTGCCCACATTTTTCACCTACAGAGAAAGAGAAGGGAAGGGGAAAGCAGTCAGAGGAAACAAAATGAAAAACTAACATCCAGTGCAAGCTGTTCAAACAACTTTAGTCTCTGGAGTGCTGTCAGTGGTGTCAAATTGGAACTGCTCAGTACCCTCTGGAGATCCTAAGTGGAAACCCACAGTGGCTAGACAGAGCTCTGAGGTTTGGAAAGATGAGAGCTGGTGGTGGGGTGTGTGATCTTACTGAGCCAAAGCGGAGTGGGTTGAGATCAGGCATGAAGACTTCTGGATAAACGTTCTTCAAATACCATGAGAAGCCCTTGCATTGCAGCTGCGCACGGAGGTCCACTCGTTTGGAGATATCTCCAAAGGCCCTCTGTGAAAACATTGGCAGGCAGGAGACAAAAGTGGTTCCTTTACATTGTTCATCTACGTTAGATACTAACAGGGCTTATTTTGCAGGGTTGACCTAAAATGCAATGATGATCTTTTTATTCTTATAATAATTAGTCACCACCCCGCTCTTTATCACTATTGTGTCATGTCTGAGAAAAACAGTCAGCTACAGAATAACGCCACTTAGGAAATGCTGTGAGTTTTCTGAATAGGGCACCATAGCTATCTGTACCAAATTTCATGACAATCCATCCAATAGTTATATCAAATATTTCCACCTGGACCAAAGTGGTATATTGACCAACACTACCATCCATAGAACCGCACTCATTGTCATCCAGTTACAGAAATAAGACATGACTCCATCGCAAAATTAATGGCATCAAAGAAAAATAGTAATATTCCACTTTGGATTTTTTATTTTACCTAGAATATCACCTTTCTAAAGTCAATGACTCTATTCCAGTGCTCTAATGACTTCTTTGTTGAACAAATTAACTACAGACAAGTACTCGATCACCATTCCTTTTAAACTGAAGCATAGCAGCACATTTAAAAGGACCTGCAAGCACCTCATGCTGGGACCACTAATTATAATGACGAGGATGCGGCTCACACTAGCGCACACTGATAGCTACTACAGTGGATTCCTCGGAACTGTTAACGGCAGCATCTCTCTTTGAAGCCAGTGGGAGAGGGCTGGCCTGCTCTGTGAGGCATAGCCCTAAGGGGAAATGTTTATGGCACCTATGGGACCACATGTTGGGAAATGCTGAGAGCCTGTCATTTACCAGAGCTGACTTCCTTCAGGCCCCTTTTTCTCTGTCGGTTAACAGTTTTCAGCCACTAATAGCCTAACTATTGCTCTCCATTTCAAAGAATGTGTTTCATTTCTACAGAATACACGCATTGAGAATTACAATAGTGAATTGCTATGGTTCTCCCAGTTATTATAACTGTATGCCTGACAAGTAGAAGTGAAAGATAAAGCTGCAAAGTAATTTGCTGCATTTAAAAGCATCACAGGACAGACACGCAGGATGTCAGAGGCGCATTACAGCCAGAAGCAGTACGTACATCTTTCGCCAGCTGCGCAGCTTGCTGGTTACGACGGTAAAAGATCTCCTTGTATTCGTCCATCCAGACCTCCGCCAGTCGCACCTGGTTACGAGCAATCACTTGTGTGCCCTTGGGAAAGGTGTGGGGGCTCTTGGTGCGGAAAACATGACCAACAATGGAACAAGGGATGATCTCCAGCTGCCCGCCACACTGCCACACCTGCAGGTTAATGGGAAACGGCACAGATATAGATAATGGCATGCAGTTAGACAAGCCTATACAGCCATTTGGATACTGGTATGATTCAACAGGCAAACAGGCTCAATGAAAAATCCTGCACATCCAGAATGACAGCTTAGTAATATCTTACCCTAAATGACATTTCAATATTCTCGCCACCCCAGATTTCCATTTCCTCATCATAACTTCCAATACGGTAGAAATACTCTTTCGAGATGGAGAAGAGCCCACCAGCAAATGTGGGAGTCCTATAGAGAAAGAAAAGGTTTTTAATGATTTCTTAAAATAAGCAAGAATTTATATAGTATAAGTTTGATATTCTATATTCATGCACACTTACTTTATAGGGTATGTTTCATCCTTCCTCCTTTGTTTCTCATGATCTGGAAGACTCTCCCAGCCAAAGGAAAGGCCCCAGTCAAAGTTTCCCCGGTTGTGGTTCTGGCCATATGGGGACGGTTTCATGAACTCAAAAGTATTGAGATCAATAGTGGTTATATCTGGACTCACTACTGCAGTGTAGTTCTCGGCTATCCTGGCCAGCAGAGGCTCCAGCCACCCATTAAAGCATTCACCTGTCATTCAACACACACAAATCAGTCACTGTGTCACAACATCTTTCTTAACAAAAGCCATGGCTTTACATTCCAAAACATTAGGAAACATCAGGGTTGTTGAGCAGTGGGTGTGTAAGTAAGGGTGTGTCTAGCATGCAATTGGTTTTAATGTGTGAGTAATATAAGTGGTGTTGACTAACAGTGGGCGTCCAGAAAGGTGAGCGTGTCGCCAGTGGCCACGGAGGCACCCAGCAGCCGAGCGGTGATGAGTCCTTTCCTTTCTCTCTGGCGCACAACACGGACAATGCTCAGCTGCTTCAAATACGCATCAAGCTCATCCTTCAACACATCTGAAAGTATGGGATGGTAAAGTTAGTGACTTAGAATATAAGTACTGAAAAATCTGATGAAATGATATATACGAGTGAATCTTGCTTGGTCTTATATAAATTGTCTCATAAAGATTATTGATAAAGTGTAAATAAATAATATTCACAGCACTCAGCCTGGAACATAAACAAATGAAAAAGGACAAAGTTGTCTTCCTTTCATCTTTAACATCGGACATGACCTCCATCTGTGGCCTGCTCCAAACAAATTACTGAGTTTAGAGTGTCAGATGGACTGCATTCCCAGAAATCTCTCTCCTCTTTAAGCATTTTGTTTCCTTCCTACATCAAACTGTTTACAAGAGTTAACTCTGACTCATTTCTAAGCACAGCCACTGCTAATTCCTCTTAGGAAAGTATTCACTAGCCCCTCGCTTCCTGTTGTAACCCACTTCATGGGCCACAGTAGGAGCAGGGAGCTCCTGTCTGCACATTTCGTGGCACAGCAAAGAGCTGCCCACCCAACATGCTGCATGAAATCGAACCCAAAAGAGAGCAGGGCGGTCCTGAAGGGCCCTATTGAATTTTACCATCCACGCTGGCGTCGTCCACCAGGATGATCTCTTTGAGGAGAATGGCAGGGGAGGTGTGGAGGACACTGTATACTGTCCTTAGCAGAGTGCTCCAAGCCTCATTGTGAAACACAATTATCACACTGGTGGTTGGCAAGGGGGGGCATCGCTTGAAGGTTTGTTCAATACATCTGCAGCGAGAAGGAAAAATAGCACAAAGATCTGACTGTCCTGTACAGTTCCTGAGTGGCACAATAGTCTAGTTATTACATCTGCAGACTCTCCCCCGTGGGGTGTCCATTTCAGCTGTGACACTGCATGTGTGGCAGCCTTTTGAAATACCTGCCACATCAGAGTGGGAGAGACTTTGTAATTCACTCAAATAAGATAGCCAGTACATGGACAGGCTTTATGTCTGTGTCATGTACTGAAATATACTTGGACTTACATGCAGTTGGATGTACTGTAGCTAGCCAAACATAACTGTGCTCTTTTCTGAACTGGCCACAGTAACTGGGCAGGCATGCTGAAACAAAGTCCCAGTCAGAACAATCATCTCTTGTGGTTTCTGCCTGAGACTTTCCTCAGTTGCAAAAAGCAAATATGATGAATGTGTTTGGGTTAGACAGTCAGTTTTGCACTGATCTGTGTGGGTGTTTTTCAGTGTGTGACTTTTAGGTGAATTCTGGGCCAGTGACTCAATCCATGGAGTCCTTGTAATAGTAAAGGAAGAGTACTTCTTGTTCAGCACCAAAGCTGAAACCACTAGGTGGTGCAATTTACATGTTGTTTCTAAATCAAAATAATTTGGTAAATGGAATTAGCTCAACTGTGTTCACTTTTTTTATAAACATGAAGGATTTTTGCACAGCATCACCAAAAGCATAAAGATTGTACAAAGTGACATACTCTGGTGGTCTTGTGTCTGCGCCCAGGTCTCTGCTCAAGGAGATGCGGTCACTGGCATAAAGGTTAAAGCAGTGTTTCTCTTCACCCCTGTCCTTCTCCTTCTGCTCTTCAGGGCTCAGTGAGTCTGTGTGATAAGGCTTCCCAGCTGCTCCGGGAGCAACGGGGTTCTGAGGTGGTCGGTCCAGAGCTGGCCTGAGCTCAGCAGCAGTGTAGTGACCTGGCAGACAGGGCACGCTGTCTGCACTATCCTGCTGCCGCACCGGGGCTCTGATCTGCATCTTTGGCATTGCATCCCTGAAGTTATTGACAGCTCCAATCACCATGCCCAGCATGGCATCCCGCTTCACTACGATATCCTTCAGCCACGGGTCCTCCTCTTGATTTTGGCTCGCCACTTCCCATTGTATGAAGAACACAAACGTAACAAAGACAAGGGCCACTATAACAAGTTTAAGTGGATGCAGTCGCCTTCGGAGAACTCTGCGCAGAGCTGTCATTCTTCTTCAACAGAGAGCAGGCTGGTTTTGGACTGAGGTTCAGCTATAATAAATAAATATATCCAGATGTTTAATGATGATTAAGCAGCACTGATGTAATTATCCAATTTAAAACATTGGGGTTTCAGAAAAAAACACAGGCAACATAGTGATCCAATACTTGTCACTACATTTACATCTTAGTGTTTAAAGCAGTTTTTTTAACTTTTTGTCATTGAAATCAAATAAATCACTTAAGTTGCAGTTCATAGTTAAGATAAAAGTAGCCTGCTGTTATCTACAAATCACATATTTAAAATCAGAAAACCAACCCGTGCTCTGGATTCCTTCAGAGAAAAAACACCACGTACCATGAGTCACTTAACTACAGATTCAGGTTAAAAAAGCACTTTAAATTATTCTTGTAAAACTCAAAGAATGGCATCCTGCTTCCCCGGATATCATATTTTTGTTGCTGTAAGTCCAAAGAAACCTTTCGCGGAGACAAAAGGATTTGCTCTCTGTTCTGCCTTCACAAAACTTCCGTCTCGTTGGAGCCAGGTGAGCTCTTCTCAGGTAGAGGGAGGAGAAGTGTTGGCGCGCCTGCGCAGGCGAGGCTTCTGCGTGTCAAAATCCATACCTGGAATATATGTGAGAAAAGTTAGAAGTGATCCAATCAACACGTTTGGCGGTTTCACTATTTGCCTTATAGCCTGACTTCTGTCCTGTTAAAAAAAAGTAGGATAATATTTGCCAAAATCACAGCTGCATCAACATTTTTCGTGGCAAACCTGTTAGCCTATTGCGCGAAAGTTAGTCTGCAGTCACTTCGTCTTCAGGAATAGCAATCTGCAGACTGTGTTCTCCACGGAGTTCCTCCGGTTCAAAAATGGTGTCATTAATAGGATTTGTTCAACTGGTCATTCACTGGGGCAGTTGCTGGGTTACAAATAACGGAGGAATGCGCTATACCCCACACACACAGCCCACCGCGTCCAATCAGGGTCTCTCAGAAAACAACCACATCTTGCACATACAGCGTCAACTTGAGGGAAAACGCACATGGTCAAGCTTGCATTTGGAAAAGTGAGTCGTCGTTTCGCTTGGGAGCTGCTTGGATTATTAATCACATCTGAGCTTTCCTTACTACTGATACAAGTTGTAAAAACTGACACTCACCACCGGTCACTGTAGTTTATCTAGTCCTTTAATTCCCCAGGTTCCCCACAGCGGATGGTCTTCATAAAGAGTTGAATGGTTGAAGGAGTCGAGACGTGGATTCCAGCCGCAGGGAGCCTGCTCTGGTGCCCAGTTTGAAGTCTCTCTGCCTTTGACTTGCACAGTGACTCCATCTGTAGTGACTGTGTTCCCCAGCACTTCCTATCCACGGCAGGCATCCAGTTTGTGTGCATTAAAATGTTCAGAGTGCCCTACATTCCCCCCTCCAGTCACGCTTGTAAATGTCTATGTGGCAACTGTCTGTGGGGATGCTGATGATATAAATTGTTTTAATCAGGAGGGGGCATTATGCTTCTAAACGCATCAATTCAATCTTGAGAAAACAATAAGGTCAAAAGGCCCCCACCATATTTCTAAATAATTTTATTTTAAAATAGAAATGTAAAAGCAACAAATACATTTATCTACATCTTTATAATATTCATCACAAGATAAAATATTTTAATATTGATTTCGACATAAATATACTATATCATTTCAAAGACAACATGTATGTCATGTATAAAATAAAAAATAGTTTGTCTAACAGAAATGTGAGCCCATTTAAATTTTTGATAAAAGAAGCTTTAATGTTCTTTAGAAAGTGCCCTTCTGCAAGACCCCATTGTTCCTATGCTACAAAATCAGAATTATTGTGGAGTTTGGCTTTGTAAGGAAAGAAAAAGCTTTCAGCTGAGTGTGTGCCCGAACCCCTCTGCACTGTTTCCTCTCAGGTTTGCCAGCACCCAACTATTCATATACTCAAAACAAATGTACATAGCAATGTGTTCAAGGGGTTTTCCCCAAAGAAATAATACACATAACTGCACAATCTTTTAACTTGACAGTAAAAGCCAAACAATAAAAGTGGATTCAATCAAAGTAACTTAATTCTCTTACAGAAACATTGTCTCTCTCTCTCTCTCTCTCTCTCTCACACACAGTTCCAACACTAAGATCTTAGAGCAGCACGAGCTTTGTCCAGGATGTCCTTTCTCATTCTCGGATAATTCGGATGAGCAGCCAGAACCTGTGGACGGAAGCAAAGATGATTTCACGGGATAAAAACAGATCTAATCTGTCAAACTGTAAACATCCACAGGTGGCTCACCTTGTGACACACATCTATAGCATCAACGTGCCTTTTTGCTTTCAAGTAGTTGAAAGCAAGCTTGTATCCTGATAAAAAAACAGATATTCCATGTTAGAAAAATACTTCTCATAATCCCTTTTCGTCCTTATAAATAGAACTGGACCTGTGATTTTGGTTGACACACCAATAGTTGGGTTAGTTCGATTTCCATATTTCCAAGCCAGTTCATAGTTGAGTGCTGCATCACGGAATGCTTGCTCTTTTTCCATTATGTAGCCCAGATATTCATAAGCTTTACAGCATGACTGTGGAAAAAAAGGGCAATTATTATCACAATGAAATTTACATAAAGTACGGCCACTACATTATAAAGTAACACAAACCTCCAAAAATAAGGGGTAAAGTTTTTTTTAAAAGAATTGCACTACCTTGTGAACCACATCATATTCAAGCGGTGACAATATTTTCAGGCTGACCTTGTTATGATTGAGGCATCTCTTTAAGAGGTCCCCGGCCATGTCATACTTCCCCGAATGGATGTAAATGTCTGCCAAGAGCAGCCAGCTCTTCTCAAACTCATCGGCGTCAACAATGCTCCAGTTCATCTTAGCTATGCGTTTGAGCTGGTTCCTGGCGCGGGGAGTTTGTTTGAGCATCATATAAGCTGTCGCCATGGCCAGCAGTGCCGGCACATGGTCTTTCTGAATTCAATCAAAGAATCCTGGTTAGATGGGATGAATCTGACAACTCTTCCCCCACTATCCCATTTCCATTTGTTTACAGCAAAACCACACCGACCTCACTTCAGTAAATAAAGTTAAATAAGAAAACATAATGTTAAAATCTAACAAATAAAATTCACAAAAAAAACTACAACTGTACAAGCAATGATATACTGTGCACACTCCATTAAAATTCAGCCTGATGCAGTGTAATGTGCACTTTATGACCAAATGGAATGACTGACATTAAGAGAGAGTATGAAATAATGCATGCTTCCTGGTGTGGCTATATTTACACAAGAGAGAGTGATGTAACTCATGCACACCATCTGGAGTTTACTTACCTCATTGTTTGCAATCTCAGTGAAAACACTGAGGGCTTTCTCTACATTGGCCTTCTGCTTAGTCGCCAGAAAGCAGTAGTTCTCCAGGATGCGGAGCTGTGTGTGTCCACCTGGTGTCTGAGGCTTTAACTCCTTCAGCAGCTTCTCAGCTGTTCTCACAGCAAGCTGCTCGGACTCCTGCTTCTCTGTGGAGTTCCTGATGAGAGACGGAGGTGAGCATTAGAAGTAAGTCTGTGGGTTAAAGGGATATACACACATACTCTTAGTATGTTCCAACTGCCACTCACCCAATTTCACCATCTAAATTCTCAAATACTTCTCCTCCTATGATGTCATTGTCAGGGTTTAGGTAGATTTCAATCATGCTATAGACAGCGTTTTGGCCCCAGTCGTTGTCTTTCCGTGCTTTGTTGAAGTGTCGCAGAGCATCATTAGGTTCTCCTGTGAACCTGAGCATCAAGAGCAAGCTTAGTCACTTATCTTAAAACACATGTCGCCTTTATTCCGAGGAAAGACTTTTCCAAACTTACCAAAGATAAAGTCCTTTGCAGTAGTTGAACCCAGGGTCAAACTTGGTCCTGGAAGAATATTTTTCCGCCATATCAACAAATCTGGGAACTTCTTCCAACTTCCCAGCCCTCCTCAGCAATTCAATAAGCCGTGACAGTGTTAGGTAGTTGTCTGAAAGCAACAGGTGTAAGTTACTATGCTTTCCGTGTAGAGAAGATCAAATTATCGGTGTTTGAAACGTGGCTCTGTTGTACCTGGTTGACGCTCCAGGAGTTGCTGAAAGTGGAAAACTGCCTGTTCATAGTCCTGCTTCCTAAACATAATGTCAGCCATCATCTAAAGGACAAACATATGTGTAATATAACTTAATGAATTAGTTCCATAAAAGGGTATGGTTAAAACTGTGGTGAAATACAGACAGAACAAACCAGGGTTGCATCTTCATTAAACTGATCATTCTTCAAAATGATGCTGCATTGGTCCTGGCACGCATCAACCTCGTCTAGAGTAAGGTACAACCGTGCCAACTCCAGCATTACCTATGAACAGGGAGTGCATTCATTTGAATTCATGGGACTACGTTCTTGGTAGAATCATGTAGATACATCAGACCACTCACTAAGATCACAAAATTTCAAAAACACAAGCACCAGACTCTAAAAGATGCCAGTGCTTGTTAACCACAGCTGCAGTTGAGTACACAGGACGTTTTTGATTCAGCTGCACTGACCTTGCGATCGGTCTCACAATACACAAGAGCTTCTTTGTAGAATTTGACTGCTCTCTCATAGCCCCTCTGACTTGTGTAGTGTTTAGCGATCTCAGCGCAGATCTCGGCAGCAAGTTGCTTCTGCATGGGGACAGCGTCAGGCTGCTCCAACTGCACTCGCTTCAACACCTTGGCCTGCACATCCCGTGCCTATACACAGCAAAAACACAACCTCATTTTCAAGACAACAATTAGCATCATCCTTATCATCTCTGTAGGAACAATTAAAAGAATATTGAAATACAACAGTGTGCATGATATGCATGATATACATCATGCATACATCATGCATATCATGATATACATATATGATATACATGATTATATATATATATATATATATATATATATATATAATATACACACACACACACACATAAGTGGAGCCACTTACTCTTTGTAGGGAAAGTAAAGCTTCGTCATTTTTGTCAACCTTATTTTGGATCTTTGCTAACAGGACCAGATAACGGCAATCATCTGAGAGTGCCAGCAGTTCATTCACTGGGTAGGTTAGAAGTTAGAAACACAACAAAACAATAAACAACTATAAACAACCAGTAAACATTTCCCAAAACATATTTAAGAGACGTTAAAATTTGCATTCAATTCAAAGCAGTTTGCCATTGCCAAAAACAATATTTGCAAATATTTTCTTTCCATCTTTGCATCAAGTTATTTATAGTTGAGCATGTTTTGCATCATGTCTGTGCACAAACTATCATCAAGACTAGATTTTCTTATTCTTACTCATTGTGCTGCTTGACATCAGGCCTGACGTGTGTGAAATACTGTGGCGTCTTAAGTACCTGGTTCATGGGCCAGAGCTTCATGCAGGACCCTCTCACAGCGCTCATGTTGCTTCATCTTCAGCAGCAGCTCAGCCAGGTCATAGCGCAGGAAGTTCTGTTGCTCAGTCTTCAGGGCTGCTTCATAGTAATTTATTGCCTGTGTGTGACATCAGTCTTGTGTCAACACCGGTTATTTTTTCTGAGTGAATTGTGTTTATCTTCAAATGAGTGCACAACACAAACCTTGATGTAGTTATGAGTCTTCACCAGGGCTTTCCCAATCTTGCTGGCTAAAGCGCCGTCTTTGGGGTTTTTCTTCAGAGCATGCTCATAAACCTCAATGGCTTTCTCTGGCTGAGGATAAACACATCAGAGGATATGTGGTGTCACAAGTTGTTGTCGGCGTGAAGTTTTTATAAATAATCTACAAGAAGTCTAACACGTTTGATTATTATTATTTTACCTTTGGGTGAAACATTGTGTGGTAACTATTAAT